CGACAGTGGCAAATGGGGTGGAAGGGGGGGGGGGGGCACCGCAGACACTGTGCCTCTTTCCACCTCTCCTAATGCGGAACTCTACGCACGCTTTTTCGAGAGAGAGATTGCATCTTCTATCTGAGGCTGCTGCTGTGCCAACATGACAGATATGAGGCAGAGGTTCATGTAGAGCATTGTTTAGGATAACGGATCCCCAAGTGCTGAAATTCTCCTTGACTCGGAAGTCTTTTTGCAGTTGATATTGACGCGACGACGGCAGCCAAGTCTCTCCTGTCCGCTCCTCTGGCATGTGGAGGCAACATATAGTGTCATGGAGTGCTTTGTGGAATCACTTTTATTGCATCACTGGTCAAGTAGTTAAATTTATCATTAATCAATTTGGCTGCCTCTTCCTTACCTTGGAGCCCTTATTTCTTCCTTGTACAGTTAGTTAACAGTCTCCTGGCTTAGCTCTGAATCTGATCTAATGAATCTGGTAATTTCCATCTATTTCCTTTTTTTTCTTCCTCAACAACGCTACTAACACCTCCTAGTGTTAGCTTATCTTATTGCTGACCGGATCTTTCTTTGACATGTAAGAGTTCCTCAGAAAATTCAAGAGACGCTTTTCATGAGTCTTATCGCGTGAGAATCTTCGCTTTCCTTAAGACAATAGGCGAAGTCACTTCAATACTCATTTTTTTGGCAGCATAAGCATGGGCAGTCTCATTGCGAATATTTGCTGCAGTATGAGTTTTCGCTCACGGTCAGTTACTTTCTCCGAAGCCTTTTTTTTGCTTCACATTTCTCTCACTTCGCACGAAGTCCAGTCCCCGTAATTTCTCGCCACCTCAATTACGGCTTGGCCAGTTGACCCCTAGTGCTGGCTTGTTCACTTACCTTTGCTTAACTTTGAACCCCGACAGAATGTTTCAAGTTGAGCGCAGAACTGCAGAAAGTCAGCGTTGGGGCTGTTTTACCTATTGGTTAATTTTTCGCACCACCTCGTAGTGCCCGAAGCATAACACACTTCGTTATTGCCGTGTTCAGCTTCTCGTTCACTCCTTCCGGTACTTTTACATGACGCCATGCCCCAGCAAGCTCAGAAGATCATCAGCCCTATGGCGAAGGAAATTCTGCGCTTTATCGATAATTTTGGCAGATTATCCATGAAGCGTAGTGGCCGCTTTTGTTAACCTGTGGTGTAGCTATTTACTCTCTCTACTCGACGTGAATAGCTGAGTGAATAAACTGTTGAGTACATGGCCAATGGTTGCATTCCTGGCTTCGTTCCTTAAAAAGTAGAAATTATTAACAGTTGTTGAATATTTTTCTTTGCGCAACGCGAAAGACGCAAAAATACGGCATGAATGTGATTCAGAAATAATGATATTTTTTAGAACGTTGTGTTTGACACTTGCTCTTTGAATATGCAAGAGAAAACTTCTCAAACTAGTCAGCTTATTATAACGCTCCTTCTTGCCCAGTCTTTTCCTTACTCTATTTTTTTTTTTGCTACGCAACCCTGTACATACAATGAAGCGTGTATTTTTTCTGCGCAATAACTCTAAAATATGGTATATAACACCATGCCTGCAAAAATCCGCGTATTGGTGTTCTGCACTGCAAATGCCATCGAAAGTCTTCTGCCGGCCGTACTACATAATTCCTGCCCTCATCCGCGGCCGTTTGTATTTTGCCTTGTCTCAGACAGCACCTCCTCTATGATGCATCGGCCGCGTCTGGCTGGCATTGATAAAATAGAGTAGGCGTTTCATCGCTGCGCTAGATATGGACGTCATCTGCCAGTGGTGTCGAGAAATGTGAGCTTGTGCAGAACTCAGGGCCACTGCCAGGTGGCAGCACCACATTGTCGGTTGAAGGATTTGTTTTTTGTGCACAGCGTAACATTTTCAGTGAAGCCTGAAAAATGCTATGGTCTTTAGATATGCGTATGAATGTATATTCTAGTGAAGCAACGCACCACCTAATACTTACCTATTGATGTTGCATCTAAGATATTCCTATTATTTGCTTTTTGATTGATAGTGTTCACAAGTACGAATGTAGCCACCAGGTCAAGATGGCTGGGTGTTCAGCTAATTCTTAAACTTTGGCCGAGTGGCTGACTCGTCTGACAGACAGACAGGCAGACGAAAATTTATGCGTTCAAGTATCCCAAAAAGGCTGTCGTTTTTAATAATGCAATTACGAAGGTTATTCAGCAATATATGTAACAACACGCCCTGTTCCCGTGTGCCTGCTAGCCACTTTGGAGTTCATGTTGAGCCGACGTGGAAAGGCTCCCATATAAAATTGCAGGGACGTGCTCAAGACCAATATCGCCGCTAGTGAGTAAACATTGTTTTCCTCTTTTAACTCGACGAAGAAAACGTAGCGGTTGCAGAAGAATGTATTCTAAGAAAGTACATTTTATTGATGAACATTACTGTATAGACTTACAAGAGTTGGCAACAAAAACACAGCATAAAAGTCTTAAGGGACATATATAAAGAAAGCATGTACATGCGTATGATTACGTCCATATTTGACTGTGACCATTTTGGGGTTTCTATTGTGAATTTTTAGTCTTGCTTCGTTGCTTCGACGAAGATATCTTGCAAACTTCACGAAGTATACCAACAAATCCTATGCGTTCGTGGTATATGTTGAATAGTGAGGAACTCACGGGAGACTTAACGTTCCGTGCGAGTTATTCAACGCTTTTTTCGCATAAACAATCATGCATAAGACAGTAATGAATATTTGCGATGGTCATACTATATACATCCCCCATGCGCACGGACACAGACAATGAGTGCTGCAAATCATAAAACAACACACAGCTGCAGATTCTTTTACGTCCTGTTCAGCACTTCGTAGTCGACAGTATACAAATGCCAGGAATTGGTATGACATTATTATCACGTTGTATTTCCTCTATCTTTATACAAATCTACATTCTAAGAAAAAAGAGAGGTATTGTTACTTATTTTAGAGAGTCCTGACTCATCATGCGCTGTATCTATATAACTCTTTTTAGATGCTCGTAACATTCTTTATGAGAGTCCCGTCTCGCACGGGTCTCTGAAAAGATTATAATGATCTCTACGTAGAATTAGCATGCATTCTTAAATAGAGTATTATATAACACAAGTAAGGAGTCATCCAGCAGAGTAACAGTGCTTTTTTTTTTCTCATAGTGTACGTAGAGGAAAAACTTCTTTTCTACAGTAGGCAACAAAGGTATGATACAGAAAAACAACTCAACCTGAAATATAACTGTAGTAACTATACATATAAATGACAAGATCTGTTAAAATTGGGAAGCAGAACCTCATATGCAAGATGGTTTTTTTTTGCGGGGGCCACATATATTCGAGGCTAAGGTTAACAAAGAAAAGAATTTCAGTACAGGTACAATAGCTCGAGCTCGCTTAACGTTGCAAAGCCTGATGGCACGACAAAACGTTCGGACGATCAAGGTACCCACTTTTCTAGAAATGTTTTCTAGGTGGCATAGGAGGAGAAACCAAGAAAAAGACAGGAAGGTTTAGAGAGTTGTTGAACTGTTTGCCTACTCTGTGCCGACAAAAGGGGAAGAGGAAATAAAAATAATAGAAAAGAGATGCTACAAATAAAAGAATAAAGAAGTAAAGGAGAATATGACACTGCTTAATGTATGTTGCCTCCACAGCTTGTACCCAAATATCCATCTTCTTCTTCCGACCGGAACATTTCGAGCTGAGAAGATGCCTCCTGGGACTTGGCTTCGCCCTCACAAATGGCCATCTTTTTTCTGATTGGAACAGCCAACAACCATACATGCCAGTGTGGTAGCTGTGAAGAAACAATCGTCCATCTATCTTATCTGTGAGTGTTCTCGCTTTAGTGCACCCAGGGAAGCGCCTGCAGATGTCTTAGACGGATATGACAATCGCCTTTTCTCGGAAGAAAGAATACTGGGACACAATCTAAGATCATCTTCAATACCGAAGCCATTGAAAGCCTTGTTTGCTTCTCACACAAGGTCTCTGTAGCTTGCCACTGGAACCATGCATGTTTTCAGACCTAGCAAGTCTCTTTACGACAACTATGTAGGGACTGTCTTACTTTAAATTATGCGTTAAATACTGCTTGACCAGTGTGAAACCTGAAGTGCGTAGCATGTGCACGCAAGTATTTCCGTTGATAGAGTTGCGACTACTCCGTTTACCAAACCGTTGATTACGTTATTGTTTTAGGTAAGCATGTAGCGTTTTCCCGGCACTAGTAGGATTTTGTGAAGGAGATTTGCGTATACTCGGTGGGGGACATGCGCGCTACTTTTTGGTGCACTTTATTGACTTTCTGCTGGCTACGGAAGTTAAGATACGCTTCGTCTGCAACGTGTTTCGTCTCATTGTTTTCGCCTTCACATGTAGCGCCGCAAAAGCGCCAGTTAGATAAGCACACGCGCGCTTCCAGAGATGATGGCGCCCTCTCTTGCCCGGCCTAAGTGTCAACTACGTGTTTTCGAAGCATTTTTAATGATCGTTAGGTTACTTATTTCGATTACTTTCTGATTATCTTTGTTAGTCCTCTTTCGTTTATTATCCTTAGAGTATTGCTAGCCTTGTTTAAGGTCTGCATCTACAAGGTGATATTGAGAGTGATCACGCCACAATATATATGAATGGGTGACAAGTTGGGCTCCTAAGTGCTATGTACTTGAACAAGACACGAGCTTCTTAGTTATTATGTCTCTAGATTTATGACGGCCTCGCCGTCTACGACAAGTATTCTGACCTTTGGGAACATCCTATATATATATATATATATATATATATATATATATATATATATATATATATATATATATATATATATATATATATATCAGATTATATTCAGTGCGCGCTAGTTAGTACTCGCCCCTTGCTCGTTCACCAAGCATACCACTATAACTGTCGTCGCTACCATCTCTCCTTTGTCGTCTTTGAGCCAGCTTGCGACTCAATATAGAGTAGTACATTTCGTAGGGATAAATACCCATACAAAGTTGCTTCATACATACAAACATTGCTGAACTTATACAAGTACAACTAATGGTCTTATAGATATGTTTTGCTATCATGCTCGTGAATTGTTCTCCAGTGGTCATTACTGCCCCTTTTGCTCGGGCAGGTGGCAGGTGTTTGCCATTAGTGAAAGCAAGCGAGTATCAATGAAAGATGTTGTCATGAAAGAAGGAGACTGCAGAAACTGTAAAAGTAGGTGAAGAAGGCTAGCGAGAAAGCCTTAAATATTAGAAGCAAAAACAATGAAAAAGAATTGTGAGGCAAGATTGCAAAAAAAAAAAAGCGAGCAAGAACGCACTGAGCTGCTGCCGAGATTCAGGCGTAGTAACGACTTTTCCTGCTCCCCCCCACCCCCCTTCTCTAGCTTTTCCCCTCTCTTTCAAGAGGAGGACCCAAATATCTTCAAGCAGTGCTGCTTCTTATCGCCAGTCCTCTCGATTCGTTTCTCAATGACGTGCTGAGGTGTGGTCTTCAGATCATATGCCTGTCCAATAAGCGCCATTAAGTCGATGAAGATAGTGGCAGGGTTGAACAGTATGCCGAACTCGCTGCTCTTGTAGTCCTGCAACAAGAAAGAACGAAATGAAAACAATACATGAGTGAACAGCGTAAGGTGTCCACTTACGTGGGCTCATTGCCTACAGGCGTCAACAGCGAAGTGAAAGACACATTTCTGTCCTTAGGAACAAGAGACACTTGCTGTCTCTTGTTCCTTAAGAGAATACTGTCTGAAAGAATTCGTTGGAATCCATGATGCAGTTATATGCACTCGTCTTAGGAATGTTGCCTTCCCACGTTATTTCTGTTAGACGTTCTCTAGAGAAGCACAAGTAACCATACCGTGAACTCTTGTTCCTGTATCTCTTTCTTTCAATATTTGCCTATAATAGATTAATGATGGACTAAGGGGTCTTTGAATGGAAAAGCTTTCGTAGTATTGCAACTAATGCATTACAGCAACAAATTTTAACTGTAGCATATATCATTTACATACAGCAATCGGTTTCTGGAAACCGATTGCTAGAAATGAAGAACTGCCTCTTCTTGGTTGCAAATCAAACCAACTCCATATAATTTAATAGTGTATATAGCTTGCCTTTTGTTTTTTCAGCCTACTCGTATATATTGCTGTATTAACTTTTATCATTATTGCCGCACCTTTGATGTTTGATGTATCGCGGTATAATTGTACTTGCTCCTCGTAATTATTTTTATAAATACTTTATAGGCTTCACGGGAAAGCACCACGGGATGAGAACCTGGAAAAATAATTGTCAGCAAGATACACAGAAGTGCACAAAGAAATTCCAGAGCCAGGGTTTCAGGATGTATACAACAGCATTCTCTTACCAGTTTTCAATTAACCATGGCAAGCAAACTGGGGTATATGTTTAATTTAATTTATTGGTGCCTTTCAAACGGATCCATATAGGTTTCAGGAATAAAATCTAAGAGTGCAATAAATGCGATATTAATGAAACCAACTGAGCCCTTAAAATGCGTGAACAAAAGAACTTGCGGCGAGTGACTGAAAACCGCACGTTATCTGCAAAGTGCAACGTGTTTTTTACGGTATACGTTGAACGTCTCAAGTAAGAAAACGTTCTCCACTTTCGTTTCACTTGTGACATGCCCCTTGTTCGTGAACTCGTCGCATACTTATAATACTCAAGTCGCCAATCAGTCTCTCTCATTTTTCTGTGTGAACTTTAGGGTGTCTTCCATTGAAATATATAATGTTCAATACTGCTCATTGCCCCACAGCTGTGGTCTAGTGGCAAAGGCATACGGCTGCTGACCCGGAGGTCGTAGCCGTGGCGGCTGCATTTCCAATGTAAGAGAAAATGCTGTAGATCCGTGTGCTCAGATTTGGCTGCATGTTAAGGACACCCAGATGGTCAAAATTTCGGAGCCCTCCGCTACCGTGTCTCTCATAATCAAACGGTAGTTTCGGAGTGTTAAATTCCACAGTAATGCCCATCAGCTAAATACATAATATTTTTGTGTGTGCGCAAGATTATAAAATGACGTTAAAGACATGAGAGAATCAGGCTGTAAGGGTGCAGTATTAACCTTACATAGAAAGTAAAAGCAGAAATTAAAAAAAAACAGCTTCAATACTGACTCTGTGAACGTTCCGCTTCGTCCTCCTATATTACTTTCCCTACTGAAAGCTGTTTAGGAATAGCGTTGATTCTTGCGATTAAAAAAAATGTTGCAAAGACACTGGATATACGTTGTGTTATGACTGCATTCTCAACAGACATTATGACTTCCCTTACTTCGATCTGATAGGCGATAGCAAGGGGCGCAGAGCAGTCGACGCTAGACGCGCTGTGTGTTCGAGGAGCCTGGCGCCACCTAGATCCCAGGAGAGAAACAAGTTTCGCATACGTTCTCACGTGCTCTCGCTCTGTCTCTGTTCCGTTAACCAAGGCACAACGCCGCCTTCCATCACCAAGTGTTGAACTGGGCACGATCTGTGCCTCGTGATCAAGCCACCCCCGGAAGCCCACGAAAGAAATAAATAAAGGTGTGCGAATAGTGAATCTCGCAACCGAATAGAAAACGAATCGAATAGTTATGGTACTGAATCGAAGACAAGCAGTGATCGAGTTCACTGAATATTTTTAATAGTAAGCAGCCCATTTTCATAACAGTCTTAGAACACATTTTATTTGAAATGAATTAAAACAAAATTTCTTCATGAAAGATTATAGTTGGTTTTTATGCACTCAAAATATCCCAATTTCTAAACTTAAGGTACGCCCCTATATAAAGCAGGTGACTAGAGCCTTAGTCATATTTGGTAACTGTAGGTTGGAATGCAGCCTTCACTACCATTATTATTGAGAGATTTTGTCACTTCTTTTAAAATAAAATTGGGACACTAAAACTAAAAGGTTTTCAACTAAACACCGCGGATACAGCTAAAATGTAATGAAGCAGATCATCCTATCATCACAACATGACCTGCGCACAAAAAGAATGTAGGAATCGGCATTTAAATCTACATATGCAAGATTAATTTACGCAAACGCAACATTTGCATTTGTTTCTAGCCATGAAGCTTCATGCAGTCGTAGTTTCCACCTCCAGTTATTAGGTACAAGATAAAGACCGAAACTGGATAAAGCGATAAACAACTTCAACATCCTAAAAAGTCAGCAGGAGTGGAGTTTTTAAAAAATTAAGTTCATCCAGATATCATTCTAGTTCTCGTAGTCTTGTGAAAACTTGTGTTGTTCGCAGATATATCGATTTAGGAATTAAAAGAAAAAAATAACCTTAAGCTGTTCTTCCATCGGTGCTGGTTATTAGGAAAGTATTGGGTATTTTGAATATTTTTGAATATGGTACTATACGAGTGAGTAGCGAATCGAATACAGCGCTATTCAATTTGTTATTCGAAATTTCCTAATACTCGCACGCTCCTAGAAAACAATTTCCTAGGCGTTTCACTGAAAATGACGACGAAAGTGCAGTAAAATAATGCAAAACTCACTGCAAATTTGTGTAAAGTGTGTACTTTATAAGTTATCACATATTGTTAAGCTTTCTATATGTTTATAAAACCAGGAAATTCTTGGCCACTCCCCAATAGTCTGCGATTCACAGTTAGTTCTTGAACAAGAGAAGAACACCAATGTAGTAGTCTGGCTTTTCTATGGCAGAATGGCCAAGTGGTGCTTTAGCATTTTGATTGATTGATTGATTGATTGATTGATATGTGGGTTTAACGTCCCAAAACCACTATATGATTATGAGAGACGCCGTAGTGGAGGGCTCCGGAAATTTTGACCACCTGGGGTTCTTTAACGTGCACCCAAATCTGAGCACACGGGCCTACAACATTTCCGCCTCCATCGGAAATGCAGCCGCCGCAGCCGGGATGTGCTTTAGCATTTTGATGCTTAACTCTATTTAGAAGTTCTTGTTTGCAAAATAAATGGAAGATCCCACATACAGTGAGAAGCAATAATGTGCAACGCATGAGTGAAGAAGGTTGATATATCCCTTTAATATCAGTGCAACGTTACGAAGCGGGCGCAATTTATGTCGTACATGACTTTAATGTCATGATTACCATGTTTGAACGTGTAAATACTTCAGTCGTCTAGTCACGTCACGTGATACCAAATTTGGTATATGTGGAGCTAGCGAAACGGCAGCGAGCGCGCTATGAGAGTAGCATGTAGTCAAGTTTTACAAGACCCGCATGTCATGATTATCATGTTTGAACGTGTCATTTACCTCCGTAACTCGTTCGTGTCACTTGATACCAAATATGGTATATGTGAAGCTACCGAAACGACCGCGAGCTCATCATGACCGTGACATGTAGTCATGTTGTCACATGACACGCATCTCATGATTATCATGTTTGCACCAGTCATATAGCTTCACAATAGAATAAGGTGAAATAATACCAAATTTGGTATAAGTGAAGGTACCGAAACGACCACGAGCGCATAATGACTGTGGCGTGTCATCATCATCATCATCATCATCATCATCATCGACATCCTGACTACGTCCACTGCCGGACAAAGGCCTCTCCCATGTTCCGCCAGTTAACCCGATTCTGTGCTTGCTGCTGCCAATTTATACCCGCAAACTTCTTAATCTCATCTGCCCACCTAACCTTCTCTCTCCCCCTAACCCGCTTCCCTTCTCTGGGAATCCGGTTAGTTACCCTTAATGACCAGCGGTTATCCTGTCTACGCGCTACATGCCCGGCCCTTGTCCTTTTCCTCTTCTTTATTTCAACTATGATATCCTTAACCCCCGTTTGTCCCCTAATCTACTCTGCTCTCTTCTTGCCTCTTAAGGTTACACCTACCATTTTTCTTTCCATTGCTCGCTGCGTCGTCCTCAATTTAAGCTGAACCCTTTTAGTAAGTCTCCAGGTTTCTGCTCCGTAGCTAAGTACCAGCAAAATACAGCTGTTATATACCTTCCTCTTGAAGGATAGTGGCAATCTACCTGTCATAATTTGAGAGTGCTTGCCGAATGTGCTCCACCCCCTTCTTATTCTTCTAGTTACTTCAATCTCGTGGTTAGGCTCTGCGGTTATTACCTGCCCTAAGTAGACATAGTCTTTTACAACTTCAAGTGCACTATTACCTATCTCGAAGCGCTGCTCTTTCCGAGGTTGTTGTACATTACTTTCGTTTTCTGCAGATTAATTTTAAGACCCACCTTTCTGCTCTCCTTGTTTAACTCCGCAATCATGAGTTGCAATTCGTCCCCTGAGTTACTCAGCAATGCAATGTCATCGGCGAAGCGCAGGTTACTGAGGTATTCTCCATTAACTCTTATCCCTAACTGTTTACATTCTAGGCTTCTGAAAACCTCCTGTAAGCACGCGGTAAATAGCATTGGGGAGATTGTGTCCCCCTGCTTTACACCCTTTTTGATTGGTATTCTGTTGCTTTCTTTATGAAGCACTATGGTAGCAGTTGATCCCCTGTAGATTTCTTCCAGAATGTTTATATATACTTCACCTGCGCCCTGATTCCGCAGTGTCTGCATGACGGCTGATATGCAGACACTGCGGAATCAGGGCGTAGATGAAGTATATATAAACGTGGCGTGTAGTCATGGCTTATATGCCACGCAAGTCGTGATTTCCACGTTAGGGTCTGTTACTTTTGTTCGCCATGCCGTGATGTCATACCATGCCAGTTTTGCGATATGTAATGTGAACGAAACCACCGCAAGAGCAGCAAGACCATAAATTGTAAATCGTTGATGATTTGGTTGATATGTGGTGTTTAACGTCCCAAAACCACCATATGATTATGAGAGACGCCGTAGTGGAGGGCTACGGAAATTTCGACCGCCTGGGGTTCTTTAACGTGCAGCCAAATCTGAACACACGGGCCTACAATATTTCCGCCTCCATAAAAATTGTAAATCGTGACATTCGTCACATACATTTCAATTTTAATGTTATGATTAGCGCCTTATGCCCCTTATAAGAGCTAAAAGTCGTAGGCGGCTAGATAGATAGATAGATAGATAGATAGATAGATAGATAGATAGATAGATAGATAGATAGATAGATAGATAGATAGATAGATAGATGATAGATAGATAGATAGATAGATAGATAGATAGATAGATAGATAGATAGATAGATAGATAGATAGATAGATAGATAGATAGATAGATAGATAGATAGATAGATAGATAGATAGATAGATAGATAGATAGATAGATAAGATAGATAGATAGATAGATAGATAGATAGATAGATAATAGATTCAAAGTCACCGAAGTTCGCTAAGAAATGCTTCACATTAAAAAAAAAACACCTGAGACCTTCTTGCTGTTGGCCAAGGTACAGTAATAAGTAAATGTCACTGCTTGATAAACACGAATTCTGAAATAGGTATTCTTGAAAGTTTCGACGAGTCCTTGTCTCAGTTGGTCTCTATAAGTTGCAGCTTCAGCTTCGTTTTGTGCGGAATTGTGCGGCTTGCATTCTCCATTTGATAAGAAGCTTCAGCGTTCGCCTTCCCTAAGGTTTCAAATATTTTGATTAAAAATGCATCAAAACAGTGATTAGGTGATCGATAACGAGATTTGAATGAAACTTGGTGCATTAAAACAGAGACATAGAGAAAACAGCAAAGCATTCGGAATATAACAAATGTAATTCTGATTTAGCACAGCTCGTATTGACGAATACTCCGATATACTCTAACAATCCTAAGAAAACTCGACAGCATAAAATATTTCGAATTTCACCTTTACTGAAGCAAAAAAGAAAGGCGGATTTGTGCCGAAAGTTGAAAATCTCCGAGTCTTCAAGGTTTCAATGAGAATACTTCTCTGTGAGGCATTGAAAAAAGTCACTTTTGCCGCAAGGCTGAAGTAATAAATATAAACATAGCAGCAAATTCTAATTACATACGAAGCGTTGCAGCTCACTCGTTTAGCACGCGACACGGCGCAACTCAACAGAATTCCGTTGTAAGGAAACACGGCTGCTGCAGCAAGCGAAGCGACCTTCGTGTTGCATATGGTTTCAACGCAAACTTTTAGGTGAGGCCACTGCACGTACAAAACTATGAGTCGTTTGCCTGTAAAGATACGACTCACTGCTGTGCGGAGTTCTTGCCGGTGAGGCCCAGCTCCTCTTTCAGGAACTACCCATTCGCATGCCGCGCGGCGGAAGCAGCCAGCGCGTCTCATCTCCGCATGAGCAGCGGTCGTCGGCAGGCCTTGAACGCTTTCACTGGCACATTGAACATAAAGGGCGAGGGTTCTTGTTATCGATTTGAAATTTATAGGGGACCTCACGGTGGCAGTGACCGCAACGGCGTGATTAAACCGAGTTTGGAATATTCATATAATTGCAGTCACATTCATATTTATATAAATACATATGTGCTTCAGGATGTTACTGGTGCTAGTATATATAGCAAAAAAACAACGTACCTAAACGACCTAAGATCAAAATAGAGGACAGGAATAAGACACCTCATCTACGTCTAATTGTGATCATAATCGGCTTGGAACATTTCTTTTTAAGCCATTGAACTTTCAATGGGACAGTAAAACGCCTTCTTTAGAATGATGACTGCCACGTCTGCCTAAAATCTGCTGGCTTTCCCTTTCCATTTTCCTTTGTTTCTGATGGAAGTGGTAGTTAGGAATTTTCGCGGTGGCCCCTTGTAACACATATGTACATGTGCATTGCACACCACCGCCCTGACACTACTCGTGCACACCTACCCTTCGGTGGAGATAGGGGAGTAGCTGGTGGCATCTCTTGAAAAACAACCACAACAGAAAGCAGGATGACAACAATGGGTCATAGAGTGACGCCGGAGGCATCTTTCTAGAGAACGCATTGGGTTGTCTAATAAATGAACCTCGTATTGCGGCTAACAACCTCTAAGAACGAACCTGCGGAAAAGCGTGGTGGAAGTTGTGGAAGCCCTCGCCGAACATTCCGATAGACATGGCCGGGTTCTCGGTCGGCGCGATGTTCTTGTCGTATGGCTTGTAGCCCCAGGTGTGTGCCGCGCTGTTCACCAACCACGTCATGTGCAGGCTGATGGTGTAGCGCAGTAGGCCGTTCACCAGGTGGGCGTTCCAGAACGTCTCGCCCACCAGCCACATCGGCACGATCGTTGGCAACACGAAGCAGAACAGTGTCACCAGAGGTACATAAAACCTGCGCCGAAGTGGGTTCGAAATTACACTATGAATTTGTATATTCGGCATTTTAGCAAACAATCTTTTATATGCCCCATAAGTGAGTCTCACAAAGCTGCGAACGAAATCTTTACAGGTTTTTCGATTGAAAAGTTTCGCACCACCGGTTATTTGAGCCTTTGTTTTACGACCACCCTTACAACTTCTATACACAGCTGGTGCACACCTCCTGTTAAGTTGCACTGTGACCCATACACACTTCTGGTGGAGATGTCAAGTCAACCACTCAATATACAGAGCGCTTCAGTAAGCGTGTTCCAAGCTTTAGAAACATTCATGAACACAGCAAAGAATTTGGTATTGTTTCATTTACTCTAAGTGAGAAACTCTGAGTATACTTTACTGGCGCCTTAGAGGATTTATTATTACATTGTTAACCATTTTCTAACGTATAGCTTTCAATACGAAATCAGCGTGGTACAAATAGACCAAGAACTGTATAGTGTCATGATAACGGCTGTGGTTGTAACTTGATATTATATATGAATAAATGTTTTCCAAAGCATATAGAAAGAAAATAATGTGGGTTGCTTAAAAAAAGAGGTCAGATTGTAGTTTTTTTTTTACTTGGCACGAGGTAGTTGGGACACGAAAAAATAGATGCCGAAGCGTTATAGTAATAAAGTCACAGCTATGCAATTAGTTGCTCAGGGTGCCAAATGCAATGGCTGAAAAATAAAGCATAAGCGCCTGCCTTGAATTCCGCATTTTCATGCGATTGATATACAGAAGCAACCGGTTGCTTATAAATTATAACTGTATACGCATTAAAGAACCCCAGCTGAGTACGGTCAACGCAGAAAACAATTCACACAAGTGACCGTAGGTCAGCACGGTCACTTGAGCCAATCGGTTTTTGCGGCAACTTCATTTAAAATAAAACCGAAGTCATTCATCATTGTGTACGTCGTAATCCTGCAGCGGTTCTACACTTAAAAGAGTGCTGACATGATTTTAAGAAATAGCAAAGGGTTTTTTTTCTTGGTATATGTAGTGAAAACGCTCCCCGCACACTCAAGCCAAAGAACATGTATAAGATACGTTAATTGAGATTTAATGTTTTTGTCACTGAGCATTTGCAAGCCTGCCGCACCGCAATGGATTTTATCCCGACGACTCGACATAGTTTCACTGAGCTTGCGAGATCTGCGTCCTGTGTGTAGCTGCAATCACAATAAATTTATGCTGGGGTCGCAGCATGACAATTCGCCCATCATGGTTTACGTGCCCGACAAGTAGATCGCAGATATACCGCTAGTACATCCCGAATTGCTGTCTTGCCGTGAGTTTACACAGCCATGAGGAGTCAGTAAGATGCCGCCCCCTCGACGTCGAAACCGAAACTGCACATGTGCTTTTAAAGTAGTGATATTAAATATATACACGATGCATTATCAGGCATGCATTACTATCTTTAGGGTTCTCGACACCAGTGTTCTTATTTCGAGTAACAATCCGAAACTAGTGTGAATTCGTTTCAGTACTCCTTATAACTGCAAATTTTAATTACCTTTATTGTTAGCAACGTACAGCGCAGCGCTAACCGTCACCTGCCAATCAATAGTACATACGTACAAACAATGAAACGATATGAACATGGTGTCTTAAGCCATTTTGCACTGCTGCGCTCTAGTTTACCAGCGTCCGCATGAAGTCGTGTTGTTTGCGCTGGAGACTTACCTCCTCTGGAAGCGAATGACGGGATCTTCCAGCACGTCAGAACAGTCGACAGTGGCGCCTTTGCGGAACACCTCTGGATGCTTCTTGCACATGAGCCAACCCATGTGCGCGAAGAAGAAGCCGCGGTTAATGTTGTGCGGGTCGGCATCCGTGTCCGAGAACTTATGATGCACCCGGTGGTCCCGCGTCCACTCGTAAACGTCGTTCTGCGTTGCAGGTGACAAAAAAGAAAAACAGGTGACTCAAATATTACTTCTTTACATTGCTTCGTTCAGTTTGTATTTACATCACAAAAGATCATAATACGGTGATCTCGAAGTCCACTTGTTAGCCTGATTTTCGAACAAAAAGCGTGCATGATCTCCCTACCTATTCAACATATTTGTTTTTTATGTGTTTGAAACCGCAATTCACAGCGTTTAATAAAACAGCTACCCCGTGACCTAACCTCCATGTGATTGAATTGGCTTCATTTTAATTTTTTTTTGTCACTTGTCGTCGTCATTGGTATCGCTTATCATTCTTCTTAGCGTCATCTGTACAAAACGAGTATAGGATTATTGTATATATGAAAAAATATTTTTCAGAATGTTACAAGACATGTACAAAATGCTGCATCACGCCAAGAAAGACACAATGCTTGAAATCGGACTACTGGCTCTCATTCAAGCGAGAGAGAGATGGGGGGGGGGGGAAGAGGGCTAACGTATAGGAGGTTAATGTAATGCGATCGCTTTGCTCTGTGCACTCACCTGTAGAGCGAAGCAGTTGGCCATCATCAGTATTATCCTGAGAGGCAACTTCGCTTTGAACGTGCGATGGCACCAAAGTCTGTGAGCAGCCACTGAAGAGCCAACACCCGAAATGCCCAGACCGATGAAAGCTGTGAGGAGAGGCGTAACGAGGTTCCATTTACCAGACTTTCTACACTTTGTTAGTTTGCTTGTTAATTGTTAGAATGAACGGAATGTTTAATATACTGTTCTAATTGAATCTTACCAAGAGAAGGACAATGTATGCAAAAAATTGTTACCGCGAAAGACGAATTTAAAATAATACAATTTTCTTCATTTGACTTTCGGGCATCTACTGAAAATGAAGACCTGAAGCCAGAGAGCTCTTAAAGCATTTACATTTGAACTAACGTAAGTGCATTTCACAAAAGTGTAAATGAACTGGAATGGTTTTGGGATATTCCTGGACAGTTCAGAGATAACCTGTTTGAAATATAACTTGCCCTAACATCACCAAGTTCACGGTGTTGGCCTACGAGGACAAAGAAAAACCTAGGTTCTTGACGTCACGGGAACCTTATGAGTATATCACGGGTGGTGTCTGTCGTTACCCTGCCACAAAGGCTGATGACGTTCCGGCCACGTCATCATGACGTTGTAGCAGGTCAATCGACACAACTGTGGATATGGTACGTTGGCAGTGTAGAAGCGGCTATGTTGTAGTACAAGTGAATTAAAAAGCTTCTTTCATGACGTCACGCTATAGTTTGCATAGGATCTTAGTTATTTAGGCAAACGTGGGGGTGGGGGGTGCAAATGCGCAAGGAGAGTATAGTGCCTTGCTATAAGAACCAGACGTATGGTGGACCTAAGTAAAATATTCTGGTAGAGTTATTGACGATGGCTGTACAAATGTCCAGCGGTTACGGCATATAACGTCACGGATGGTATACAGGGCAAGATCTGGGGCTAAATTCGCAAAACATCTCTTTCATAAGTTTAATCAAAATTGGGGGGGGGGGGGGCTTAACGTCCTAAAACCATCGATATGATTATAAGGGTCACTGTAGGGGAGGGCTTCGGAAATTTCGACCACCTGGAGTTCTTTATTGTGCGCCTAAATCTGAGCTCACGGGCCTCAAGCATTTTCGCCTTCATGAAAATGGGACCGTCGTGGCCGGTATTCTATCCGTGACCTTCAGGTGAGTATTGTAGCGCCTTAGTCACTATAGACTACCGCGGGAGGTATTTCTAAAGTGCGTTTTGTCCATTTGTAAGCATCGCTAATGATACGTCAGGTATCGTGACTGGCTCGAGTATTCTCTCACGAAACCTTTTAGCATAATACGTTTTTGTGAATGTAGAATTAGTTTCTTTCTGACCAATCGAGGTCAAGTTTCACTGTCTGATTTCTTTTTTTTTAGTTCCACGTAAAAATCTTTTTGACCCCCCCCCCCCCCCTTCCTGAGAAAAGTATCAAGATGGACGTCAAGTTTGGGCTAAACTGACTTGCGGCGGTCCGGTTATTTATTATAGAGGATCCGAATAAAGTCGTTCTTTCATTAACTGTGATGGGCCAGCTCTAAAGAATTGTCACATCAGGTAAATGTCATCAAGTATTTACATTGTTTCAGCAGGCGCTTATTGAAAGTAACATCAGCATGCATGCACCTTTAGCCTGATTAGCTTAAGTGTGGCTGCTTATGAGGCCTTCCGCTTTTCAGACCATGCGCTCACTTTTTGCAAATGCTAGGTGGAGATGATTAGTCTGTAAGGTGACATACAACGTATGCGGTAAGCGAAATTCGGCAATACCTCCTGCGAATTTTGCTTGAACGAAATAGTTCTTGAAAGCATTAGGCGCTAATACCTGCTGTGTACATTGAAAGTATACGAAGGGTTCGACTCCCGACCATTGCGGCTGCCTTTCGATGGGTCAAAATAAAAGAACACCCATGCACTTAGATTCAAGTGCCCCTTAAGAGTTCTAGGTGGTCATATTTGTTCTGGAGTCCTCCGCTTGGACATGCCTCTTAAATATGTCGTAGTTTGACACGTAAAATATTGAATTGCATTAGATTACATACGCTTGCTACGTGTGCTACTAGAACACCGTAGTAGTTCGTACCGTAGTCATTTTGACGTCATTGTTGTCAGTTCCGCCTTCAGTGTTAAGGTAGTTTTCCACCCTCCTTAAATATGACATGCCCATTTTTTTATTTTCGGTGTATGTCACGTTCTTCCCTTACCATTATCGCATTGTACTGCGCACCTCGTTTAGGCCTTTGACGCAGTTCTGACGCTACCTATACTTGAACGGCTTCTATCTGCGATTCGCCTACGACCATCTCCATCTACTGCAGAATGGCGTTTCGTGGCTTCCAAATCACACGCGTGCATACCACAAACATCCAGTCGTGAGAACTCTAACCACCGTATTCTAGAACGTCCCTTCACTCAACACTCCACCTTCACTTGAGAAAGCCAATGGCAGTGCCGTCTCTAGTCATGACAAGTCACTGCATATCAGTGATAATCTGCTGCGATTCTTGTGTAGCGCAGCGTCATTTTCAGCCGAGCGGCGGCGCAGTGCTCAACTCTGTCAAGTGAAGGTTGAAAGTCGAGTCGAGGAACGTTTCTGAATACGGGGGTAACCCCCGTATTCACAAACGCTCCTCGACTCGCTCCACTGATATGCAGTGACTTGTCATGACTAGAGACGGCACTGCCATTGGCTTTCTCAAGTGAAGGTGGAGTGTTGAGTGAAGGAACGTTCTTGAATACGGGGGTGAGTATGAACACAAATACGCGAGGCATAGTGCGATATCAGCGACTCCAGCCTACATGAACTCGAGTCACGGCACACGCGCAGGGTGTTAGGGTCAAGACTATATTTTAACACCGCGCGCACCGAGTCATCTGCGCGCACGTTCGCCAAGGCGCTTACCGCTGATGCGATGCGCACGACTGAAATATAACCACACACGGCGAATGAACTGCGCATGTGCAAGGCTTCGTGTTGCTATAAGGAGTTGTTGATAGCCTCGTGCTGTACTTGCTTCCGTGTTTACGCTAAGCGTACTTACGCCTGGACACGAGTCTGTGCAAGGCACAGAACCTTCTACAAATTACTATGCGCCAGTGTTGTTGCACACTATAGCACGGTAAGAATAGCACGTCCAGCTCCGAAGCGCATTGCTGATATAATCTGCTTTAGAGATTTCATGGTTTCCCTTCACCCATTTTAGCTCGTGCTCGTATACAACACCGCATGTTGCACCACCTTGGGCTTAGCGAGATTGTGCTAAGAAGCGTGACCAACCCTTGAGCGTTGCTTAAAGATGGTGAGATAGTCAGTCGTGTGAGGAAAGGGTAAGTTACGTGATCACCTCTATAGCGTCATAATGACTGAAAAACAATGACTTTGGCGTCATTTGTCCCTTCTATTACCCCTTACACCACATCTTACCAAATGCCCCGCCGCGGTGGTCTAGTGGCTAAGGTACTCGGCTGCTGACCCGCAGATCGCGGGTTCGATTCCCGGCTGCGGCGGCTGCATTTCCGATGGAGGCGGAAATGTTGTAGGCCCGTGTGCTCAGATTTGGGCGCACGTTAAAGAACCCCAGGTGGTCGAAATTTCCGGAGCCCTCCACTACGGCGTCTCTCATAATCATATGGTGGTTTTGGGACGTTAAACCCCACAAATCAATCACATCTTACCAATCCGCATTCATTGTTTAAGCACAGAGCTTGTTGTGTACTGTGCATGACTTTGTCGTTTGAAAGAACTTGTGCCAACAGATGTGTGCCTTAAAAAAAAAATATGTCGCCTGATTGCGAGCAGAAACATGATGCATACTGGATTCGTCGTTTACGCGTTGTGCGGCATGAAATTAAAGAAAAAATGTTTTCAGAGATGTTGTGACGGGGCTTTTTACACCAGTCGCAAATTCCAGAAGATTGCGTGTCCCGTGTCTGCGTCGCCTCCACTCGTATTATTTTGCGCTCATAGTGAGTGTTCTTTTTTTTTTCGGTGGGAGAGGGGAGGGTGTGTTCTTTTTTCTATTATCGCTCTTGTTAGATGGTCACCAGAAGTGCAGGACACGCACGTGCGGTATTCTACCTTTTTTGAACACTGTCGCGGATTCTATAAAGCGGAAGAGTTGCATATAATCGGCATTCGCATGCGACGCGCGCAAGTGTCGCATTCTCGAATGTACACTCGGCGCTGTCAATGTTGCTTAAATGGTGTTTCCTTTGTTAGTCGCAAAGTTGGCAAAGCGAATAGGTAGATTCCTAATATGTGGTCATGTCACTTTCTGGTTATCATCACTACAACGTTACATCGCAGTGTCTTTGTTCGAAGTCTACCTCTTATCACCGTTTAGGACACAGAGAGAAACCACTGTTTCATGACCACGCCCCCCTCTGTAATGTTTTTTTCAGGCACCCCCCCCCCCCCTCCTAAAATGAGTGGCTGGATCCACCCCTGCACCTCGCTCACTACGCCTTACGAAGGGCGAGTAAGTGGATCGTCTATGCACTTTACAGCGTACTGTTAATGGACTTTAGAGTGCACGGGCGTGTCGTAGCATCTCGCGGCGGCCACGATAACTAGGCGAATCACGCAGCTCAAATCGGCTAATGGCCATATAGACTCTTGGTTTACGGCATCATTTATCGAGAGACGAGCGAAAGATTCGCTCACTTTGAGAACAAATTTTGAAATTCAGGCCGCGCGAATACGCTGTATTGTTTGACTCGCCTGTTCTCAGGAGCCCTAACTACCGATCAGCAGCGTTCTCTAATCATGCTGATAAGCGTTCCAGGGTCCCTTTAACTTGACCCGTTGCCTCTGTTTTGTAGCAGTATACGCTAGATCCAATGGGATCGCTGCGTGCTTAGAGTTAATGCGTAGGCGAAAAGGAACAGTTAACCTCTCGCTATATGAGCCTAGTGTGCTACAGTTTTCACAGAACTGAGAACTGGCACCGTTCCACGGAGCGGCGCGCTGCTAATCAGTCGTGACTGCGAGTGGTTGCATATCAAAGGTATCAATCTAATTCGCGCTCACACAGGAGTGTTGCCTGTATGGCTGTGATATCATCTGCAGCAACATTGCCGGTAAGCTGCGTGCCGGCTGCCAAAAAATGAAATTTTATGGACTTACGTTGAAGACTCACGAGTACGAGCGATTAAAGCGTTGGATAAGGCTGGCGTGGTGTGCGAGATAAAAAGACGCTTCTCATTTTTTTAGCGCTTACTATTATTGCGAATTCGAGCTCGATCAGCGCCGCCAGTGATGGCCGTGAGTGTAAATGCATCGCGACATCGTCCAAGCGCCGCAGCACCGCCATACCAGCTGTCGAGGCCTATTGGCCGCTGCAGCTGCTCGTTGGTATGGAATGCTGTAGTGGCGACCTAATAAAAAGCCCTCTGCAGGATAACATCTAAAGCTGAGGTGAAGAATGGCACAGATCGGTAAAATTCTGGCTTTACGATAACTTGACGCCAAACATGCGTTTCGGCGTGTGCTACTGATGCGCTATTGCTGTTGTGCAACATTGCTCAAGGGGCTAACGAACGATAGAAAGGAAACGTTGTGGCGATGCCACTTAAAAATGTATAGCGCCCTCAAAATGCGCTTATTGATCCCCAATACTACTCCTAAGGGATTTTTTAAGGCCGAAAGCTGCTCACCTACCTTCGCCGAGTGGAATGACTTCTTTGCTTTTTTTCTTGCTTTATTTTTTGGGTGGAGGGAAACTTTATAACGCAGCCAATTTTCAAGGGAGTTGGGGGCGAATTCGAGTGTGCTTTCTGAAGAAAAAAAGTCGCTAAGTGCCATCGCTATACATAAAAACAAAAAAGAAACTATTGAGTACAGCCTGGCGGTACTTTGCCACTGGGTTTCTCAGCCGAGATCTAGCGTATAGTGGAAGGCGCGAGCTACAGAAGCCACGGCATCCGGGGTTCTCACCCAAAAGGTTCGTCTGCCACTTGGCCGTGAATATAGCGCAGTAGAGGCCACAGGCGGCTCCGATGTGAAGCCCAATGAAGAGCAACACGTTGCGCCAGACGATTTCCGTCTTGTAAGGAACCTCGGAGACCGCTTCGCTCTCGGGGTCGCTGCTGTTGTCCGGCAGCTGCTGGTGATCTTGGACATCATTGTTCTCCAGGTGCCTTTTCCTCTCCGTCACCGAGGTGGTCGTTACGGAGCCCTGCCGAAGAAGCACAAGTGAGTATTTGCGCATGAACGCGTGTTAGGCGTTTATCTCCAAGGTGACCAAAGTACGAGCTCGCTTACAACGCACTCTCCGCTCAGCTGTCTGTGCACAGACTTCAGTTGTATATACGAGCTCCTAGTGGGAGGAAGCGTCACGAGTGATGGAGATGAGGCCGAACACACACAAAAAAAAATACGAAATTAAAGTAAACGAAGGAGCAGGCAAAACGGCGGTCGCATGCAACTTCACCTTGCAATTAAGCTAATAACCCGGAATGAACGGGTAAAAAGGGAGCCTTCGTTCCTACAATGGCAACCGCAAGGTCCCTCTGAGACTTCGAAATTGGAGACAACATAGTGGCGTCGCTCAACCGCCCAGGCAACACGAGACTCACGCTATTCGAGGAAGTGGGAGGGCCTGTTTCACCAGCTGAAGCATGCATTGTTTATTGCACGCGAAAAAAATTAGCGCTGCTACTGGTGCAAGCAAAAGCGGTGCAAATAAAGCATCTAAACGGTTGTGTATTCGTTATATACAGAGCAAGATTCTCAATACCAGCCTTTTTGTTACGTAGACGATTCCTATTCGCTGCGAATGGCTGCAATGGCCCGGCGTTTTCGTGAGCACTATTTTAGCCCGGCTTTAGGAGGTGAGCATCTGCTTGGCCTTCAAATACTTCATGATCATTCAAATTATGTAGATTTTTTTGAAGTAATGATGAATGGCTTGATAATAACAACGGTGATGTCGATAAAATACTGCAACCTTGTTTTATTGTTTTGCTTTTTTTACTGCTAGAGAAGAATAGCGAGAGAAGCAACCCGAGTGGGGTCGATTAGACATGGAAGAGGCCTTCTTGCTCGTACACCAGCATCAGATCAGATTTGCCGCGATCCTATTACGTGTGACTTGCAAGGCTCAAGGTCCTTGGGAACGTAGTTTATTGGACCGCGGCTGAATATCTTAGAAATAGAAAGCGTTTAAGGCACTCCAGCCTTTGACAAACGCGGTGCACAGTGAAGATGGGCTATTCTCGCGCGAGAACTGTACTTGACTCGACCACTTTTAAAACTTTCAAGGAATACTGCAGTAACTTGTGACTGGTAGAAATAAACGCTCGTCTCAGGGAGTTGTGTCAGTGGAGTAGCCAGTGAGTAAAACACCAGGCCCGTGCCTCTCCCCATCCCCTATTTTTTTCGCAATGGCATACATAAAGAAAAATGACCATTCCTAAAAGCTGCCCCTCCCCCCCCCCCTCCTCCTGAAAAACTTGTGGCTACTCGCCTGAGTTCTGCCGAGGGCTGATAAATCCGGCTTAATGACCACCCGCCTGTTGTACACAGCGCAACTCGGCATGCGTCGCTTTCTTCGCCCGTCGGCTCCCTGCTTTAAGGAAGGTCCGGTCTAAGTTTCCCGAATTACCGGAAGGAAGACACCCGGGTGGGGCAATCTGCTTTTTTTACGATGCCACTGCGCACGCGCCCTTCTCCTAGCGAAAAAAGTGCAAAAGGTATCTTCATCTCGGAGGTTTTCGTTGCTGTAATACCTGTTGCTCCGTATTATTGTGACCATTATTAGCATTTTTTCGTCAAAGCGTGAGTAGTAATATATGTGCACAATATCGGATCAGAAGGAAAGAGAGACGAATCGATTATTTGCCGGAAACATATGAATTCCGTATTTTTTTTCCTTTCCTGCTCCATTTTTTCTTCAAAATTATCAAACTGCACTATCTCAATTTGTTTGCTTATAAAGTTGGAAGTTATAATCATAGACGACTTATTCCCTTCACACTATAGCACTCGGCAATTTACCATAGAAGCAAGAATCCTGAGAAAAACATCATGCATGCGCCAGTATCGCCGTACGTGGTTAAAACTTATCGTCGCAAGTCTTTCCTTCTATTAATTTATTTTGGTGATTTTCCCCTGAAGCAGCCGCTTTATTTTCTCGCACAAAGGGAGTGAATAGACAGATTAACCTACAATACTCCTGGTAAATTTTGCCTTTGTATAAGATAGGACAAAAGCGAACTATACAGGCTGAACTCCGCAGCGTTTACTGGCGCAGCTGCTATGAGCTGCTACTACACTATACCGTCATTTTTTTTTTTTCAGCTTTCTGAACATGGGCTTAAAAACGAAGGCTCGTGTGCAGGCTAAACTGGATCGTATGTTCCGTGATGAAAGTGTGCGAGATCGTTAACAAGCCTATTTAGGTTCAGCCAGACTTGTAGGGGCGCGAGTGCGCACCTTCTAGGCTATAGGTGCCGCAACGGGCGTGCAGTGTGACAACTGTGATTTCTAACACCACCATGGGCCACTTTTGCCACTGTCCTGGCGTTTTATTTTATTTCATAGTTTATGTTTACAAAGGGTCAGCATTCGTGTGAGGAATTGTGCAGGCAAGTCTTCAGAACAGATTTGTTGATTAAAAAGTGCAAATATATCAGTCAAATATTTTTAACATTGATTAGTCGTACTCTACACACTCATTTGATATTTTTATTCTGTGCTACTAACTCACCTTTAACGTGCTAATATTTTTTCTTTGAAGACTTCAACGCAATAGTCTTACCACTGGAATGGTTTCTCGTACTTTTTTGTCACTGTCTCTAAACTGTACTATTTTTTAGATTTATATAGGAAGTTCGAATGGCAGTGGTTTTCCCCTCGGGCTTTTATTTTTTTGTTTAGTCTTTTGCGTACCACAAAGTCTTACTTCACTCTTCGGTAGTGCTGCTGCTGGTGATGGCAGCCGGTAAGCCTATGCGTTACATCTTTATACTATGTGTTAGATTATAAAAAAAAAACAAAGGGAAGAGAGCTCACGCACTAAAAATTTCATCGTGACTTTCATTTCTTGCCTACTAGAAACAATGGCCTCTAGAGTGACGTCTCATGCGGCTTGCAAATTGAGGGTTTGATCTCCTTGCAAGGTGGTCATAGGCAATACAGCCTTCTGCTGTTGCAGACTTGCAGGGGAAGACTCTTATTACAACTTGAAAAACTGTGGGACGATGACCAGCTTGTTGTAATATTGCGCATAAATATTTGATCCTCCAGGCTCATTCTACTGAACTTCAGTTTTTTACAAGGTTACCAGCACTCTTCAAGGTCAATTATGTGGCCAAAACCGTATATAATGACTCCAACCTGCATCCTTCGAGGCACGCATGTGTGATTACCGCGAACCTTGGGCGGTGTTAATCATGCGTGCGCGTGTTCATTTTCTTCCTTTTTGAGAAAGGAAAAGTAACAAAGTTCCCTTCGTATGAACGAGAAGTGGAAACGGGCTCTGAACATGTGAGTTACATAGGCGCTATATTCGTGGCATTTATTGTTGTGTCGTCGTCTATTCATACAGAAAAACCCGTTCACTTGTTTCAAGCGCGTTCCTGACTGTTCTCAGTGATCCCCCCCCCCCCCCCCCCCCCCCGTGCTTTCACTCACATAAAACCGAGCTGAACCTTTATTCGCCTCTTCAGCGCCATTTTTGCAGACTACGCAACATTTGTTCGTTCAAGTTTTTGTTTCAGTGCTACTCGTGGCTGTGTTAGGCACCAGCAACCTGGGGGCTTGGATGAATTGAAGCATTGCGATAAATGTCGTTGAGGATCTCGTGCACAGTTGGAGTCTTCGGTCTTCGTATGGCCCACTTCAATCAACGTGTATATATATATATATATATATATATATATATATATATATATATATATATATATATATATATATATATATATATATATATATATATATATATATATATATATATATATATATATGTATATATATATATAGTTTTACCTGTGTAAGGGGAAGTGACTGTTGGGTCTTATCGATGAAAGCACATGCACATGCGTTCTGTAGCACTTCATCAGAAGAATAAATTTATTCATTTTGATGTAGGCTGGTTTAGACCTAGTAAGTTAGGTCAGTGTCCTCAAAACTCTGTTAAAGCTTAGCCGGCTTCGCTAGTGATATGTCCCGCATCGCTACAGCCGCAAATATTCTCTTTTGAAAATTTCCATAAGACATTTTTTTACTATGGGCCCAGGTTTATATACTTTGAAAACAATTCAAAACCACCGCGCATGACAGTTTCTTTTTTTTTTCGTTTTACGCATATCCTATATGACAGCTGCGCTTATATTTCTCCAAAAATAATTCGGTTGCTACGGTATCCTTTACTCAAAGTGAATGCAAGGCTACGGCGAACAAAAAGGGGGCGTGAGCCACCATTGAAGAATGTAATCCCACAATTGCTTTCGTGTTTTCTCAATCATAAAAATATCACTTTATCTTCCACGAGATACTCTTTATAAACTAACGCAGCACGCACCAAGGATGTATTTGTTTTTTTTTTACTTTATCCAGTGTCATTTCGCGTTGTCGCACGTGTGCACGTTTGACGTGCACCTCACAGTAAAAATGGCGTCTTTGCATTCAGGGGAGCGATTGTCGCCATGCAGCTATTCCGACGAATCTCTGAAGGGGCTTGGGCTCCCAAATTACTGTCTAAGCAGACGATGCAAATTGTATGTAATGTAGTTATTGGAACACGGCCGCCCTTTTAAACTCTGGCCGAACCGGACTACTTCGCGGAGGAGTACATGTTTAGTAGCTGTGGTCCCCTAGGTTTCCCTTCATTGCCAAGAAAAGTTGTTCGCGAGTATAGTAACTCGGAATAAGACATCACGACAAGGGCAGAGCTGGCGCAAGAGGCATGTTCCTAGCCACAGTCGCCGCTTTAAAACTCACGCACACACTAGCAGTATTCTGGCACCTTATATCTTCGATTTACATGCAGAAAAATGTTAAACGTAGACGTTGATGTGAAAGAGAATGCATTGGACCAAGCATTTCTCCTAGATCTAGTGACACTTGGGAACTTGAGCACGTACCACGACCATATGTATATTCCTATTTTTCCATTGTCTCTCTGCCTCCTTGCTCCTGGGCATTTTCTTCCTCAATCCCATTCTCTCTACAGAG